TTCTCCCTAGCCACCGGCTTAAGTCCCTGCAGTCTGCTTCACCCCATCAGGAATGCAATGTCGCTTACTACGAAGAACATTTTTAAAGTTATACAGTATGGAAAATATTTTTTATAAGATTTCGGATTAGCTACCCTTTGGGACTAGACTTACCACCACCTCTTCTGCCTATTTGGTCCTTTCCCACCTTAGAAACAGGCTCTGAAAAACAAAGGGCTCCAGCCTCCTCGATGCTCTCCTAACTATACAGTACAAGAAGCCAACGGATGAAAAATTACCAGGTTCAGATTTTCTGAAAAGCATTTTATATACGTACTTATAAAAATATAAGGAAAATAAAAATCAGAGTACCGCTAATTCTTGCTTTTGCATTCATGAAAACTCCTTGTCGAGTTTGGGGAGACTCCCGTACATAAAATTTCACCAATCAGCTCCTTTCAACTTAATATTCGTATCTGTATTTTGCCCAGAGGAGCCACCTACATTAGACAGGCTACCTAGACAGGGAGGGAGAAGGAGGGAGAGGGAGGGAGAGGGCGGGAGGGATTCAGAGCGCTGGTCCTTGTGAGCCGACAAGCTAAAAATACGCCGGCCCAGTAAACAAATCCCATTCCATCGCGACCAGAGCCACACCGTTAACCTAGTAATTATGAGAAGAGGAGTGAGATCACGCAGCCCCCAGCTTACTCATCATCAGCTTCTAAAGTTTCCATCGGCTCATGGCAACTTTTCTTTTTTCTAAAGTTCAAAAGCCTGCCCTAGAATTCCCCCCCCCCACACACACACACACTTCTTTTTCGCTCCCTTCCTCCATTATTGGACGCACCTCAGTTTGGATATCAACAGGGGAGAACAAGCTTGTTGCCTTTTCATTTTACTTTTACATTGAGACTTTAAAATGAACTTGATCCTGCTCTGGGGTAGCAGCAGCCTGCGCTCCTAACCACCTTAAAACTCCAGCATCCCTCCCGGAAAGTCTGACAAGGGGGAACCGTCCAAACTGCCCAGCACACTTGAAAGGGGGGCCAGGAGCGGAGGTGGGGGGACCAGGGACGCGGGGCGCAGGTGAAAGGGAAGGGAAACGGGGGACAGGCTGGAACGAAGCAAGGCACAGTGAGGGCGGGGAGGGGGTGCCGAGGGGCGACGGCTCCGGTGAACTCTAATCAGAAAGGAGAAGGGGGACAGTGGAGAACAGAGGGTCAGAGTTTGAGAGACTGAAGAGGTGAGAGGGGCGAGAGCAGACGGGGGGTGGGTGACAGGGCGGGGGGCTCCGTTACCCTCGCGGCTCCCGGGGCAAGGCCCTAGGCCGGGGCGGAGCGCGGGGCCCGGCCGCCTCTCCTCATTCCTCTGCTGTGACCCCGGGGTCCGGCCGGCCCCTCCCCCGACGACGATGGAAGCGGAGGCGGCGGCGGAGACTGCGACCGCGGCTGTCGCTCCGCACAGGATCAGGAGCCGGAGCCGGACGGGGCTGATCCAGACTGGCCTCCCCCAGTGGCTTTTTGCCTACTCCACACCCGGTCGCCACTCCGACTCCGGCGGCTGGTTCAGGATCGGTGATTTTCGGCCGTCCGGCCGGAAACAAGCGCCAGTTTCCGGCCGGAGCGGGTTGGTGGTGACACCCCAGCCGCCCCCGGGCCTCCTGCCCCGCAGCCCCGCCTTTTGCGGCGCTCCCCGAGCCGCGGCCAGTTTGGCGCTTGCCCCGCGCGTGACCCGGTGTTTGCCTGGCCGCGGTCCCTACCGCCGCTGGCCTGGAGAGTTCTTGAACCAGAGCTGGAGGGAGGCAGGGTGAACTCTCGAGACTTGGAGGTAGACTTCGTTGGCTACAGCCCTTTGGGAAGAAACAGAAGGAGGCGGGGTGGTTCTAGAAAGGTGAGAGGGATGAGAAAATACTCTAGAATGAGAAGACGGAAATTCTAGTTACTCCACTCAATCGCTCTGGACTGACCAGAGGAAAACGAACAACGCTTCTTCCAGACCAGTCTCCGCCCAGCTATGCACCCGCCAACCTTCACTCACGAAGTGGACATACCCTGCTCTATAAACCCCCGATTTTTATGAACAACGATGATGCCCTATTGACACATCTGCCTTAGACTCAGCACAATCAAAAAAAGTTACGTAGCACTTCTTTTGGTAATGCCTTTTAACAGCATTCCAGTATAATTCAACAAAATATTTACTGAGTCCCTACTATGTGCAAGGCACTGCGCTCACTGACCCTGGGAACGTAAAAAAGTGAACAAGACAATTCCAGGCATCAGAGATCTTACACTTTAGTAAAACACGTAAAACTTTATATTCTATAAAGCAAACCTCACACACCTGCTGTGTGAAGTGCAATGGCTCTGAGAACATAAGCTTGTCTGACACATAGGAGACCTTCCGTATTTGATGACTGAATAAATAAATATTAGAATGTGGACTGTTTCAGATAAGAAGTGCCGTGTAATTAATACCTCTTATGACAAACACAAAATGAGGCCAGTCCCTGCTACAGTCTGACCAAAGAAATCCTAAGGTTTCACTCAGATTCCGAACATTGTGGCACCTGGTCCACATACTCAGAATGTTTATTGTCTAAATTGTGCCCATTAGGTCTATTTAAAAATGAACATTACAGTCCACGTTTCTGTCTCCTCACTACTTGCTGAAGCCTTCAGTTTCTAAACAGGATGGGTGGAGCATAGATATTTTAGAATTATCCAGCTCAAGACTAGAAAATCGACACCTGAAACAGGAAACTTCCTAGACATCTATATCTCTTGGGGATACCCTGGGTTTAGAGTTGAAGATTTGAGGCTGGGCCTAGGGCCATACCAAGGCCAAGCAGTTCGGAGTGCCTTGCGTGAGGCACCCCCAGGACTAACAATACAGGTTCGCAAGCAGAACCATTTGGCCTGGGCTTCAAGCATGTGGGGACTACACGTTTTGGCTAGGGCTCAGTGGCAAATTTGAGAGGAAGGGTAGGATGAGACTTGGTCATTTGAGTTGATTCTAACTGAACTCCATTGATCACCTGCCCCACACACACCCTCCACCCCTCGCTAGCTAAGTCTGGGGTAAGAGGACAGATCCATAGGTGAGGAGCCTCAAAAATCAATGCCCTCCCAAGACCAGGGTATGCGTCTCTGTTTACGTCTTTCTAGTCTTAACTCCACAACCACAGATGTTTTAGGGCCAGGTATGCAGTTCAAAGGCACTCTCCACCCTCAGTACAAGGCAGACTTTTAGTTTTGGCAGTGACCACAAAAAGTTTCCAAATTTGGATGCTGGGCCAAGTTGCTGGTCAAACTCATTTAAGTGACCACACTTTACAGGCTTGCCTGGAAATTTAGGGGCCAGGAAGCGATGGGGTTGCAGTTGCTTTGTGCCTGTGTCTTGCTCTGACCATCCATCACTCATTGTTGTTTGTGCAATTGCTCAATGGGCTGCTTGTTTTGGGTCAGCCTAGGCTGTGTGGGTAGCAGTGTGGTCAGCCGGGCTGGGAGCCAGGCCACCTGGGTTCTGGTCCCAGCTCAGCCAGCCCCTAATCCATTAAGTGACTCCCTTCCTATTTCTATGTGTCAGTTTCTCTGCCTAGAACTGGGGACCTCTTCTGTAGTGATGGTGCAGCCATTCGGGCTGTCACTATGCCAAATGCTCGGAAGCAGTTGTCCGATGTCGCTGTCAGCAACCCAAACACAGGTGATTATTTTTTTGCTGCCAGGTAGAAGAATCGTGAGGAAAGAAAGGCCCTACCAGTGTACCCAGGGCCACACGCCCTCAACTGCCACTCATACAAAGCTCTCTTCCACCCTGAAAGCCTGTTTTTGTTTACTCCATTTAGCTGTGGCTAGGAGCTCCCGAAGCTTTCACTTCATTCTAAACAAGAGCAGAAAAAACGGAGCTCTGCATTTCACCAGAGAAACCAAACGGAGAGATTATTTCAACACTGGGGCTAATGGATAGAGTAGGGGGAAATGTTCAGAGAAAGCTATTTTGCAGCTAACCAGGAAAAGAAAACCCCAGCAATTGTTTGTATTTATATGTTTTTGTGGTGGAAAAGAAAACCAAACCAAGATAGCTGCCTTTCCACTACCACCACTATAATTTAGACTGGTGAGTCTGTGGAGTTTTAAAACCTATATACTGTATGTGTCTAGGAACTTCAGACTCACTGACTCAGACTTCTTGGGGCTGAGGATCCTGAATCCATGTATTTTTAAAACATCCACGGTTCCCTTTTTTTATTGAGGCATAATTGACGTATAACGTTATATCCTTTTCAGATGTACAACATAGTGATTCGGTATTTGTATACACTGAAATGATCACCACAGTAAATCTACTTACCATTCATCACCATAGTTAGAAATTCCTTTTCCTGTGATGAGAACGTTTAAGATGTACTCTCTTAGCAACTTTCAAATATGTAATACAGTATTATTAAGTATAGTCACCATACTGTACATTACACCCCCATTATTTATTTTATACCTGGAAGCTTGTACTTTTTGACCACATTCACCCATTTCGCCTACCCCCCTAGACCTCCTTCTCTGGAAACCACCAATCTGTTCTCTGTATCAATGAATTTGGCTGTTTGTTTGTTTGTTTGTTTGTTTGTTTGTTTGTTTTGGCTTTTATAAAATTCCACATATAAGTGAGATCATACAGTATTTGTCTTTGTCTGACTTATTTCACTTAGCATAATACCCTCTAAGTCCATTCATCTTGTCGTAAATGGTAAGATCTCATTCTTTTTTATGGCTGAGAAGTGTTCCATTTCATGTATGTACCACATCTTTATCCATTCATCACTTGATAGAGACTTAGGTTGTTTCCATATCTTGGCTGTTGTAAATAATGCTGCAATGAACATGGGGGTGCATATATCTTTTTGAATCAGTGTTTTTGTTCTCTTGGGATAAATACTCAGAAGTGGAATTGCTAGATCATATAGTAGTTCTATTTCTAATTTTTTGAGTACCCTCCATACTGTTTTCCAGAGTGGCTGCACCAATTTACATTCCCACCAACAGTGTATGAGGGTTCTTTTTTCTCCACATCCTCACCAACGCTTGTTATTTCTTATCTTTTTGATAACTGCCATTCTAACTGGTGTGAGGTGACATCTCATTGTGGTTTTAATTTGTATTTCTCTGATGACTAGTGATGTTGAGCATCTTTTCATGTACCTGTTGACCACCTGTGTGTCTTCTTTGGAAAAATGTCTATTCAGGTCTTCTGCCCATTTTTTAGTCACATTGTTTGTTTTTTGCTATTGAGTTGTATGAGCTCTTTATGTATTTTAGATATAACCTCTTATCAAATATATGATTTGCAAATATTTTCTTCCATTCAGTGGGTCGCATTTTCATTCTGTTGATGATGTCTTTTGCTGTGCAGAAGCTTTTTAGTTATGCAGCCCCACTTGTGTATTTTTCATTTGTTGCTGGTTTTTGGAGTCAGATCCAAAAAATCTTCACCAAGACCAATGTCAAGGAGTTTACCGCCTGTTTTCTTCTAGGAGTTTTATGGTTTCAGGTCTTACTTTCAAGTTTTTAATCCATTTTGAGTTAATTTTGTATGTGGTGTAAGGTAGTAGTCAAGTTTCACTCTTTTGCATGTGGCTGTCCAGTTTTCCTAACACCATTTATTGAAGAGACTGTCCTTTCCCCATGTTATATTCTTGCCTCCTTTGTCATAGATTAAATGACTATATATGCATAGATTTATTTCTGGTCTCCCTCTTTTGTTCTATTGATCTATATGTCTCTTTTTATGCTAATGCCATACTGTTTTGATTACTATAGCAGCTTTGTAACATAGTTTGAAACCAGGAAGCATGATGTCTCTGGCTTTGTTCTTTCTCAAGGTCGCTTTGGCTATTTGGGGTCTTTCGTGGTTCCATACAAATTTTAGGATTGTTTGTTCTATTTCTCTGAAAAATGCCAGTGGAGTTTTGATAGGGATTGTACTGAATCTGTAGATTGCTTTGGGTAGTATATACATTTTAACAATATTCTTCCTATCTGTGAGCACAGAATATCTTTTCATTTACTTGTGTCTCCTTCAATTTCTTTCATCAATGTCTTATAGTTTTCAGTCTACAGGTCTTTTACTTCCTTGGTTAAATTTATTCCTAGGTATTTTATTCTTTTTGATGCAATTGTAAATGGGATTGTTTTCTTAATTTCTCTTTCTGATAGCTTGTTGTTAGTTTGTAGAAAATATGCAACAGATGTTTGTATATTGATTTTGTATCCTGCAACTTTACTCAATTTGTTTTTTAGCTCTCTAACATCTATGTTTTTTTATTAAGGTAAACACATTCCTACCCCATGACCCAGCAATTTCACTCCTAGGAATTAACCCAAAGAAATTAAAACATATGTCTACAAAAAGCTTATATGTGAATGTTCATAACAGCTTTAATCATAATAGGCCCAAACTGGAAACATCTCAAATGTTTATCAACAGAAAAATAGACAAATACATTGATGAAACAATGGAATACAAACTTCAAAAATGAACTCCCTTTAAATACAACAACATGGATAAATCTCAAAATCATTTGTTGAGAAAAAGAAGCCATTAATATAAAATTTGAGAAAAGGGAACAGCAATCTTGATGATAGAAGTCAAACTATGGC